CGGGAGCTACTAGTAGCTTCTTGCTCCTAGTAGCGATGCCCTTTGTTACTAGTGGCTTCTTGTTGCTAGTAGTAAGGCCGGGAGCTACTAGTAGCTTCTTGCTCCTAGTAGCGATGCCCTCTGTTACTAGTGGCTTCTTGTTACTAGTAGTAAGGCCGGGAGCTACTAGTAGCTTCTTGCTCCTAGTAGCGATGCCCTTTGTTTCTAGTGGCTTCTTGTTGCTAGTAGTATGGCCTACATCCGCTGTTTGATTGGTGTTGCATGCCATAGGGGACTACTACATCTTTTGTGCATAGATCAGAGTGTCTTACACAAAGCGGACACCGTTTCACGGTGATCGTCCGCTGCGAGTGATAGTTCCTAGTAGTACGGCCAGGAGCTACTAGTAGCGTCCTTGCTCTTAGTAGCGATGCCTTTTGTTCCTAGTAGCTTCTTGTTACTAGTAGTAATGGCCTCCAACCTACTTGCGATGGCCTCCACCTAATAGCGTCCTTGCTACTAGTATTTCATGCCGTTGTCAAAGACCTGAAGCGGATTGGATCCATCCGCGCGAAAGGCTCCGCACACGATCAGAGACTGACGCGACGCCGCTCCTAGCTCTGGCTGCACTTCCACATGTTCAGACTTGGATCACGAATTCGTGGCAGGCGCAGCACTTTGTGGTGATGATACTTGGAGGGCTCAGATTCCGTGTTAGGCAGGTCTCATGACCGTCAGCTTTCAGCGAGGTCTCACAGGAAGGCCGCCTCGTTGGGAGTCTTCGAGTTTCAGGCTCAAGACATTGGCGCTGACGGTGTGGGCTCGCGTCCTCAGTGTTTTCAACGGGCATGTTTTGTGATTGGCCGCATCATTCTGATAGCATTGCCAGGAAGCTGATAGAAGATTTCTCATGCAGCGGACCGCCACGTTCAACACATGACCTGTTCGAAGATGTTCACTGTGGGGCCCAGTTCGATGTCTGGGGCTCTGCATGGAACTGCAGTGGTGGAACTGTTGGATCTCAAACTTCTGTGAGGCACACCACTGATTGCCTGGTCCTTCCGAGAGTCGGGTTCTATCTCAATGTCCACGGCTTGGTTTAGGGCTTTGCGGCAAGAAGCGTTTGTGAAGAAGCTTCTTGCCTGGCCGAAGCTCTTCGTTTGTCGAGATGACTTGGAAGAGTTGCTGGAAATTCCACAGCGAACAGTGAAAGCGATTTCAACATTGGTTCATATAGGGGTGGGGTTGGAAATCGAGCTTCGTTGCTCATCCAATGCGGGTTTGTTCTAGGAAAATCATATCAAACATCACATTCAACGGGTTCCAAATATGTAGGATATGTGACATAGAAAATACAGCTTAAATGGTTGCAACTTGCACTGATATATAACTGTTCTTGATAGCTGTGCAATCAGTTCATCATCGCTGAGCATACTTACTTGACAAGGTACGAATGCTGTCAAGCACTGGCGCTCCTTTGTTCGTTTGCTCAGGAAGGTTTGGATGGTGGATGGAACGCATTCTAAGGGTGGGACCTGCATGCACGCAAAAATAATTCGATCACGAAACTCTGACTGCCAGGGTGGCGCAGCCCCCACGCCCGAGCACCCGGCGCACCCCGCGGCGGAACGCCTCTCGGTGCCACTGCGAGTGCTACTGCGGGTGGCCAAGGCAGCGGCGGCAGAGAAAGGTGACGAGGCAAGGGCATCTGGGATTTGGAAGAAGGAATATAGACTAGAATGTCCTTCCAATCTACTCCATCTTCCACACTTCGTTTGCCCAATCGGCGAAGCTTTGTCTGGTCTTCACACTTCGGCGTTCTCGATCTGCGCAGGTGGAACTGGTCCATGGGCTTTTGCAGCAGCAGCTCTTTCCCTTCATGCCCAAAGGCCGATGAAAGCGAACAGGACGTTCACGACCACGAACGCGCCGTGGTTGTCCCGAGCTCCGACGAACTCGGGACAGCTGGTGCAGCTGGGTGAGGATTCGGACCGGGACCCGCATGGCCCACCCGTTGGACCGGATTCTGCGTTCCTGAAGGCATCTGTGGATTCAATTTCATTTTCCACCCCTTCCTTGGATTGAACTCGCTTCCGAGAAAACAGACATTAAAGGCCGAGAATGGAAACTGTTTTTTTCAGATTGTTTGGAAAAGCATTTTGCATATGCCATGGCTGTTGAAAGCCCAAGTATATGAATCAAAATGGCCGGGTGAGACCCGGCCTCATGCCGAACCGCCTCGCCTCATGCCGAACCTGTTCTCCGGCAGGCGAGCGCAACAAGCTGGTGGCGCAACTCTCAGAGCACTTCCCCCAGGCTGCGCCCTTGGCGGCAGAGAGGGCGCTGCACAAGGCCTCCAGGCCCGCTGGTGCCACCACAGGGCCCGAAAACGGTGGCACCCTGGTTGTAGGTGGCGGTTTTGGTTGGCAGGCTGCAGTGCGTTGAGTGCATAAGGAGAGAGGATGTAAGTGGACAGGGGTGGTGGGAAAAAGATGACACATGTCAACTGCAACAACTCGTCAGTATCATTTTCATGACACACTGATCAGCTGATCTCAAGCAATCGCGTTGGCCCAATTTTGCCAGGCAGACACAAGCGGAGACCAGTGCTTTGTCAGCAGCCAAAAAGACAGAAGGTTTTGTTATTTGACTTCTACATGCACAAAAGCTTATGTTTGAATAAAAACAGGGCAGGTTCCCACTGGAAGGACTTTTATGATGCCTCTCAATCTATCTAGCAACGGTTTCACCCAAATGGGCGGGCCACTGGTGTTTACTGGGCCCAGTCAGGTCAAGTCTACATGTGGTTCATTCTCAAGAACGCTTTGGGAACTTGGGTTCTTCCACTGTCCATCACGTCTATTGATCCTGCCTTCGGATCTTTCTAGTTTCCAACCTCGCGTGAGAAGAATGTAGAAACACATGAAAACCACCAACGGTCACAGAATCCAGGTACTCTAGTTTCCGACCCCCCCACGAACCTCGTCCTCCCGTCTTCTTCTCTTACTCTGACGTCCTCTTGAGGCGTCCCTGCTGGCCACGTGCGCTTTGGGACCTTTTTGGCCCCCATGGGAGAGCCGAAGAACCCCGAGCTGGTGCGTTCCACGGGCCAAACGAAGCGGACGGAAAGCGGTCCACGCCCGGAACTCGCCACGGCTCGGATAAGGCAAGTGTAGGTAAGAGAGTCCGGTTTGTAGATGAGAGCAATCTCTTTCCGGTGGGTTTTGTTGGTTTTCGGCTGTGTATCCACGGATGCTGGACCCTTCAGGCTTCGTTTGTGCTGCTTGGAAGTGATGGACCGACCCATTTGGGCTGCTTGGAAGTGGGGTAACAAGGTGCTATTGTGCTGCCAGGCTGGAGTAAACCGAGAAAGTGATATAGCAGATCTATGAGCTAGGTCACCACACGTAACCACGTGTACACTCAGACACTAACATGGAAGTAAAGAACACTTGTGTTAGTCTTCCAGGGGATCATGCCGTCCACTGCCATGTGAGCTTCGTCAGAGTATTATCAGTCTCATCACCTGTTCGATATGTCTTGTTTTCCACTGTCAGTGAAGTCACTGAGTCATGAGACCTGGCTCATGGGAAGACCGGAGCTCGTCCGGCCCAAACGGTCCGGCGGCTTCGAGAAGCCGTGCCCGTCGTAGGTGCCGGCGGTGGATTTTGTGGGGATCGATCGACACGTGGACTTGCTGGAAGAGCTGTCGAAGGCGACTGGAGCGAAGAGCTGGTGGTTGTCGATGGCGCAATGACCTCCATTTTTTGGGTGGTGCACCAGCAGGGCCTCCATTTTGTTTGGGACATCAACAGGGGTGCACCATGAAAAACCTGTGAAACGTGTGTCTCATCGTCGTGGGAGTAACCTCTTATAAAATCAGGGGTACCAAAATAGCTACTCCAACCGGGTTTTTTCTCTATAAAATTGGGCCCCCATGATTGACCACAAATAGCTACTCCCGGATGGATGAACCGTTCATCACCGACTTCGGGCTGAACCGTTTCATCCTCCGACATCTCGGACACAAGCCGCGGAGAGGGACTGTAAAGGAGAGGGACTGTTGTGGCTTGTAAAGGACGGGTGTCACTTTTGGAGGCAGAAAAGGGTGTTGGACCCTACAGCTCCCAGTTGCCGGTGTGGTGATTGACTGAGGGATGATGTAGTTGGATTGTCCCAGTCTTCCTCTCTTACCTGCACCTCAACCCCGCTTGCTTTTGTGGCGACCTGAACCTCATACCAACAGGAGTAGATCGAGTCACTGGAATGAAAAGAAATGAAAAGAACGCATTTTGGTATACCTGAATCGGATCAATGGATGGATGCTGTCAATGGATCGGCGTCGAGTCGACCGAAGGTCGTTTGAAAGCCCTTTTTGGTCGAAGCAAAGGTCGTCTTCGACAATGCATGGAGCGAAAGTCCCTGAAAGACCCTTGTACAAAGTAGTGGGGAAGTTGTTTGAAGAAAAAGGCACGGAACATTTGAGAATCGATCAAAACCATTGGAAGAAAAGTAGATGCAGAAAACCCATTGGAAGGCACATGAATTCATATCCTCCTTCTCCACATCTCTCCAACTCTCCGTGGCTCGCCATGGCGCGGGTCGGATCATTCTATGGGCTGCTGGGTGTGACGACAGAAGCCACGACGGAAGAGATCAAATTGGCCTTCAAACGACGTGCCTTGCAGGTCCATCCGGACAAAGGCACGATGTCCGAGGAGCAGAAAACGAAAGCCCAGCGACTATAGGGCTCCCCGATAAGATGGCATAAGGAAAAGAGATGGTTTAGGCCATCTTAGATTAATTAGTAGGGTATACAGATGGTGTTCATGTAACATGGCATTCCAGGACGAATTGATAAGTTTAAACAATTA